GTGAATGTGGGGGGGTGGGTGAATGTGCACATGGTTGAGAGGGTGCGAGCTCGAGAGACCTGTCAAGCGGATGTCACGCCTGAAAGAGGCGTATGAATCAAGAGGCGGCGGTGTACACGTCAGTTGACAGACATCGAGCCCTACCGTCGTCGAGGCGAAGAGGAGGTATCTGCTTCTGCACTCACAAACTGGTCGACATGTCTCTTCGTGGGCAGAAGAGCTGATGCAACAATCTCCTTCTTCTCCTCCTCCACTTTCGACGGTCGTCCACAAGGCCATCGTTGTGGAAAGTAGCATTTTCCCCGTTGCCAGGTCACCGGTGGCTTGGAGACGGAGTTTACCGGCCAGACAGCCTCGTCACGGAGGCTTCAAGCAAACTGGACAATGCCGAACTGTACCACACCAAAAGAGAGCATGTCTGTCGGTTGCACTGTCTTGCGGCACGACAGAGCCATAAAGACCCATCTGTTTAAGCAGATACACACACACACACACACACACATACACATACACATACACACGGGGAAAGTTGAACCTGGACAGTGAATAGGGAACGCCGCTAATCATCGGGGTCCGAGTAGCTGGCGTCTCTGCGATCTGGCCAACTGGATACATGAAAGTGTATCGTGGTTCGAGGATTGGGAACAGTTTCAGAATGACGCCAGAGCCTAGCAACAAGTGCCAGGAGGGCGGGGAGACGGGTTGTGCCAGCACAAGCGACACAAATCGCTGTATTGTCTGAGGGTTGGTTGACAGGTCTTGAGGACCGTAGATAAACACGAATTGGCAAGCCGACGGATAGGCGCTCCGAGTATGGAGGCATAAATACACACACACACACACATACAGTTAAGTATGTGTGTGTGTGTGTGTGGAGGGTTACATGAGGAACGCATGTCTGAAGTGGTCGGTGTGAAAGAGATTTAGAAAATAGCTTATTTTATGCGCTTTCTCGGCATCTCAATGACTCCTTGTGAGTCATGAGCACATTTTATCGAAAAGTCAACCCTGCCACATGGACGGTTTGAAATGTGCCCCGGCAACGGGTGCTGTGCCACCTCGAGAAGGCGGAAATGTGGCTACAATCAGAGGACAAATGAGGGATCAAGTTAATGTCAGGCTGGTCTGTCGTGTGTTGCTAAGCCGTCGCCTGGACGACTGCGCCGCCCCTCTCGTCCCCCGAGCACTGATGGTCACGCATTCGGTGAAGGGCTGTTTATGCGGTAGCCGGGCGATCGGAATTGACTCCTTCTCCATCGGGGGTGGGGGGGTGGGGGGGGGCTAGACCGGTCCGTCTCGGCCGAAAGACAGTTGGCAACACGAGAAGCGAGAAAAAGAGACGACCCGACAACTGAACGATAATGCAGTTGGCGAGCCGAAGGGAGGAGCTGATGGAGGGCTGGAATGAGACATCGTGATTGAGACGATCGAGAGGGAGAGGCTGTGAATTGGGCGAAAAATACGGTCGAAACGAATCCGAGAGACGATGCGACGACAAGACGACGCCGTTGAGTCCGTGCGATGCGGCAAAAGTGGGACGGTTGTACACTTTCGAGGCCAACAAAGCGACCTGGACGCGGCTCGAACGAGTCCCTCCTCGAAGCATTCTAAAGTGAAAGTTGCGTCTGAACTCGAACAAGCCCCAACTATCGGCCAGTTTCATTCGGGCCTGCGGCACCGGTCAACAGGACGACCCACTCAGACAGGAAAACGGTCAGAGGCCACTTCTTGCGGGACTCGAAGCTGGGACCGACCACGAGTTCAGTTTGACGAGAAGCCAAATTGAGAGAGTCTGTCGGTGAGTCTCCGTCTCGGTTGGCTAATGAGATTCCACTGCAGGTTTTATTGGCCCCAAGGGAGCCGGAAATGGCCGCCTACAGACTGGGCCATCGTTCACAGAATCACCGAGCTTAGTTACAGCTTCGTCGGGCCGACAGCATTACTATGCATCAGGCGACACAGGCTTAGTGACGAGAGTTGCATAAATAATGCGCAATCGCGCTGAATGGCCAAGACGACCGGACGGAGCAGAGACTGCAGTGACGCTGCAGTGGCGCGTCGTTTTTACGTCGTCTGGTTGGGCAAGTTTTGATAAATCAATTCGGTCGCATACGCTGAGTTTGATATGAGTAGTTTTCAAGGTTATCGGTGTTGCATGAAAAAAATTATAATTTATGCTGAACAGCTCATTTTTATTTCGAGTAGATCATGTTTGATGGAGAGATCCGCAGGTGGATCCCATCGGATGTATTGGCTTTACTGGAACATTCGAGTCCGGTTGAAATGAGCATATTCAAGAAAACAAGTCAAGAAAGCGTAAATTGAGAGAGACTATCGAAATAAACCGGAGAAATGTAAGGAATACTTGTTTATACTCGATTAATAGACTCAAGGATAAAGAGGTTGTTGAGCTGCACAATTGGAGTCATTGCTAAAGTATATAAAATATAATTTAATATTAATGGGTCAAAACCATGATGGCCAGGCAGAGAGGATATTTTTCTGTGCTAATTACTTTTATTTGTTTTTCGATTTAAGTATTGTTTTCGTGACCACCAGTAAATCAGTAGTATGAGATGTATTCACCCAATTTCGTTTTAAGGTGATGAAGGACTAATGAAAGAAGAATTTTCCCAACTCATGTCATTGTGGGAAAATTCTTATTCTACCAGTCCTTCATCAGCTTAAACGAAATTGTGTGAATACATCTCATACTACTGATTTACTGGTGGTCACGAAAACAATACTTAATTCGAAAAATAAAGTATAGGAGTCGATTTTTATGGCAAATATACGTTTGCTTCATCGAAAATCCCACCAAAAGAATATGATATGGCAAAAAGGCCTGGCCTTTTTTGAAAATGCCCATTTGCCCTGTGACCCAAAGACACTCGTGGGTCATTGTGGGAAAATTCTTCTTCTACCAGACCTTCATCACCTCAAACGAAATTGGGTGAATACATTTCATATTACTTTCATTTGGTATGAAAATGCATGAAGAAGAGGACGAATAAATCGCGTTGTACCGCAGCCGTTTGGCTTTTATACGACGCGACTTCAACCCTGGTTTCGGGTGAGCTCGTTTCCATGCACTTTCAAATGAAGGTCCTTCCAACAATGTTATCTCAGGAGATCCATCGAAACCCAGTTTCTCTTCGTGATTACTTTGAGTACTCCCTGCCGGTATCGTACATATACGAGCACATGAAGGCACATAGACACATTCATATAAACACACTCACATGACTTGAGCTAGCCAAATCACTTTATACCTCATCACATATACACAAATATATATAAATATATTTTTTTTAAATGTGTGTATGTATGTATGAGCTAAGGAAATGAAACGTATTAGAAGTATCTGCTTTATGTTCCTCATTGTTAAGTAACCTTTTCATTTTCATCCAAAGAGAATACCTATTGCGATTGTACAATGTTCATTATTAGTCAGATAATTCTATAGAGATGCTAATCTTAAAATGTATACATTCATTTTAGCTTAGTATTCTTCCTTAACTTTTTACCACAATAGCTTCCCTAAGTTGGTACCATGTTTCCACTTCTGTATACGAGGGATATAACTTGTCTATCTTTTGTGAAGACCTTGACGTTATATGAAAGTGCCCTTAAAGAGAGTTATAACAGAAATTCGCGAAAATCATGGTTATTCATATTTTTTTATGCCTTTTAAGGGTATATCTTACCTAAACAATCGTTCGTCAGGCTAATTGGGACTATTTCTTGCAAAAGCCTTATTTCAACTCTTGACGAAGAAGTCCTGTCGGATCCACTTTATAAGCTATAGTTATCTATACTCAGAAATACAATATGTGTATATATAGAGAATAAATTGGTGCTTTAATATAATAATCTAAGCATTCCTACTTAACTAGGTGTGTTTGTGTGTGCGTGTATGTGTGAATAAGGGTACATTCATAATTCCAATTATAAGAGCTGCATTCACCCTATCAGGTTTGAGGGTACAGAATTTCGAAACAACCTGATATTTTTCACTAAAAGAAAGCCTAACCGATATATATATATATATTTTATTTTAATAAGAAATATTCCCCAGTCCTTATTCATTTGTTCATTTTTTTCTCATCCTTTTTTCCTTTATTCCTCACTTCGTACGTTTATTTTCTTTCATACCTTATATTTTACACCCTTTTCTCGATTAGGCCAATATTACTAACATCTTTTGAATTGAAAACTTCTATAACTCACTTCTTTGAGTACTAGAATTTTGATACTATTTTTATTTTGCTGTAGCCTTGGTCGGTAATGAACCGTCAATCGAGTCAAAATCAAGAAACCACGATTCATCATCTTCTTTCCTTGAGTTCACTTCATCGTCTAATAACAATGATGCACTTGCCTTCGTCACCAACTCTGAAGTACCATTAATGTCCCATTCTCATGATCCCCACTACCACCATCGACGTCTCCACCATTCTATCCAACAAGGGCGGCAACAAAAGCAAGTTAAACAAAAACAAATCATTTTAAACTCTTCCGTT